TTTTCCACACTGAAACGTTGAAATAGGGGCAAAAATGCAAAAAAATGAAACGTTGGGACGTTTTGCACACTAACTATCAAACGTAGGGACGTTTTGTGCTAATAAGCCTTAAAATTAAATACAATAGTACGTTTGAACCGCGAAACGATTCCTAGTAAGTTTGGGAACAGTGGACAAGTTTGTTCTCGGGGGTAATATGCAGATTTTGAGCTCTATAAAAAGAGGGTCTTCCTCCTTTTTGCCAACAAACATTTATAATCCACTTATTCTCTGGTGAGTTCTAAAGGGAGAGACAAAAGATAATTTAGATGTCCAGATTGCTTGCACCTAGCAATTCCTTCCATCTAAACTACAATTACTTCATTTCACATTTTTTATACTCATGAAGAATTGTGAAATTTCAGAAAGGAGAGTTTTATAACCAAACCATTTTTTTTCCAGCCGCTGTTATGAAATCAATATGCGACCACAATATGAGTTGCAAGAGTATGCTGTTTCATAGTTTCTGATCTCCACTTCTCAATTTTCCATAAGGAAACAGAATCTCCTGTAAAGAAGGAAAGATATGAGAAGTGTGAAATGCATTAACCATGTTCAGGTCTATGGAAACCAAAAGATCAAAAGCATGAACTTGAGACTATGGAATGAATTGGACAATATATTCCATGGTTACATCAAACTCAAGTTGAAGGTTTCTATAGGAGCCAAAAAGATACTTTATTAAGACCTTTCCTGGCAGCAAATTCCATCCACAAATCAAAGGAAGTCTGTCTAAGGCTTACTCCTGATGTGACAAACCCTTTTCCGTATTTAGAGATCAGATCCAACTTTCTGTATCGTAACAAATTCTGTAATAAGCAAAACCCAGCAAGAAGAATTAGAAAAATCCAATTGAAAAGGCAGTATGTAGTGAACAGAACAGAAGAAATTGAACTTCCATGAGAACAGAGAATCAAAAGGAAAATGTCAAGCAACTAATACAACTTGAAGATGGTTAGTCTTTTAGAGGGATATAGAAAAGCCAACAAAAACATTCTCCAACCTTGTACACTAGAACAAAGTCCACAGAAGAGAGAGAAAATGTACGAAAACAAATGTGCAGCTTGGTTTTCTACATACCTATACACAGCCTAACTGCATCATGAGAAACACTTTTTTCCCTTATAGGTGAAGAAGAAACAAAAGGAAAGGGATTTAGAAGTACCTTCAAATACACAGTTATGCCATTAGGTCTTATTTCACCATTCAGTTCAGCATAATCACACAGTACCTTAAAATGATAGCAGTATGCTCAAACCTATGTACAGGTGCTGTTCAAGAACGTATTATACTCAAAATTACTCAGCCATTAAAAATTTATCTACATGCTTTATACACCTACGGAATGCTTTGCGTGCATCATAGCGAATATGGTCGAGGCGGTTTCTCAATATAAGAATTATGTGAAAACAAAGGCTAATTCTTCTAAGGGGAAGGACCGAAGGAGCAAGGACGGGAAGAGAACAAGGGGTAGAGGGGCGGGGAAGAGAGAGAGAGAGGTAATTGCAACTTAACTATGTTGAATTTCTGTAATCATATAACAGGATAGTAAATATTAGTCTTTAGATCTTGGTATCTTAGTCTACATAACAATGATCGACATAAGCAGAAGTAGGTGGAAAGATTTTTTGAAAAGTGGAAGCATAGGTTATGACCTGAAAACTAAATCTGCCTTGCCAGGTTGCAAAGCTAACTCATTCTTCTTCACAAGTTTCATCACTTCTACCATGAGTTTGACATCACGGTGTTGTTTAGCATGCAACTACAGCCACATAACAGTTATT